GGCTGTTCGCACTGAACTGAGTTGGTGAGCATTTTCATGGAGATAGAAAATAAAATTTCAGATTTCAATATACCATGGATAAATAAATGGTAAATGGCATAAATTTGTTCTTTGCTATACTGTCAAAATGACTCATAACCTTATTTCGAAATTTTAAAATAAACATTGTTTTCGTATTTGTCGAATGCTATTAAATATTTTAATTGATTTTGCTTTTTAATTTTGTTGTTTTAAACTGGTTGTGAGCAGAAATATATTCATTAGTAAACATGTTTCCATCAATATTTTGCCATAGCATTTTTAGTGATAGTGACGTAGAATTAAAGACTGAACCTTTTTCATTCAATCCTAGTAAATCGGACGAATGTTGTGATGATGAAATAGCGCCTATAACTGAACCTAACTTGGTTATAGTTAGTATATTATTAAAATGTTTTTCATTACGTTACTAAAATGTAATTATTTTAGGATGAAAATCTACCGGATGACAAGAAATCAAAGCAGCAGGAGTGCAAAATATGTGGGAAAATGCTGTCTTCTGCTTCTAGTTATTACGTTCATTTAAAACAACATTCTGATAATAAACCATATCGTTGTAATGTATGTGATGCCTCATTCTGTAGAAAACCATATTTAGAAGTAAGTAAAACCTATTAATTATAGTTAGTTGAATTTCTAGTCAATTCAGTCACGGTGTATTTTAATGGATTTGAAACAAAATTTTTTAAATTTTTGATATCTAACATAGTAAGAAATTAATAAAATTAAAATAATTTTGTTTAAATAGGCCCTAAAAAGTTCATGTTTGAAAGTTACAACCTCCTCAATGTAAATCTTATACCTGGCTATAATTTTTATCTGAAGTATAACAATGAAAATTATTTTACACCTTTCTGACATTAATTAAAATAAATGAATAAATGAATCAAAAATCAAATAAAATAATTGAAATATTTTCCCAGTTATCATCATATCGGCATATACATATTATTATTCTTCTTTCTGTGGTGCTTTTGTTTTATATTTATCACTAGAATATGTCCTGGTTTTCAATGGAATATCGGGGGTATTAAATCAAATTTCATCTGAACAATAGGTTTGCATGTTCACTTTTATACTGATTTTTTATAACAAAAATGTTCAAAATGCTATTCTGTAAGCAGTTTTGATTTCATAACAAATTGCCTTTTTTTAATTGAAAACTGATAGGGTAAAAATACTTCCACAATATTATTCTACTAGTTATTTTCCGTTTCGTTTGCTCAAATTTTCGAGTAAATTATCCAGTGTTGCTATTCTATGCTCTTCAGCTGTAGTGTAGCAACTTTATTTTCATTGTTATAAAAAATTTCTCTATTTTAAAATACTTCATTCAATTTTAAGTTTTAATTAGTTTTTGCATGAATATTCTATTTTAATTCATTTGAAAATGTCTTGACGGAAGTTGTTTTTAATTTTTAAATCAGTTGTGAAATAATTCGGTTACTATTGAATGATTACTACTATGTTTAATTTCACAATTTATTATATCACAAGTTTCTATGAAATTTTACATTTTAGGTCTAGCTTTACTCATTTGTTGATGTTAATGCACTAAAAAAAAACATCCACCTGATACTATTTAACTTGTAACATAACACGAGTTGTTAAATGAACTGAATTTAACTACTTAAATGCTTAATATAAGACATTGCAATTGATAGTGCACATAAAAAAGAGACATGACAAGAATCAGTGATCGATTATCGATACCAGACTGTTTTGTGCCAATACATAATATGTACTAGGAGAATGTCCCTGCCTTCATTTTTCTTTCTCTTTCATTTTCATGTTTTGTGTATATATGTCTGTTGTATTCTAGCCTGTTAATTTAGATACAAATACGAATCTTAGCTTTGGCATAATGTAAATAGCCAAACAAGGATATAAGCTTATTTATTATCTAAAACATTGTCCCAGAAGTCGCAAAGAACACCTTAAATGATTTTTTGTTTGTAAATATTTTGAGAAAATGCAGAGGTTTTTTGAAACGGTACTTTATTTAATGGAAAGAGAATACTTTATCATTAAAAAATTAATTTTCTACTGTATTTTTCATTTAGACAGTTCAGTATTTGAGGGTGGTTTAATATATTTAAACTTTACTAAGATATTAAATGTTAAACTAAATTAAGTATTTTTTTTTACAATTTAGACCAACTTACTCCCATTCAAAAGTCAACATCTTAGATACAGCCCTGTGAAATTATATCTTGGTAAACATTGACTTTTTAATAAATATAAGTTCAAAAAATACTTCAAAACACTACCAATAGAAAATGTAATTAAAAAAAACAAAAAACCATTTGTGTTCTTAGTAACCTCTACATTTTGGATAAAAAATAATCTTGTATTCATTATTGGCAAGCCCAAAAACTTCGCTGTAATTACTGTACAAAAATTAAATGAAACACATTTAATTTTATTAATTGCTTCAATATGCTATGAAGCTTTGGTTAAATTTTTTACACCTAATTACGACTTTCCTGTATATTTATATTTTTATAATGATGGGTCCGTAAAATATGTTGTATATTTTTAAAGTCTAAAAGTTTGTTTATTCTAGTAATTTTTGTATTATTCAAGGTACACATGAGAGTGCATACTGGTGAAAAGCCATTTGAATGTGACACATGTAAGAAGAGATTTACCCAAAAATCAAGCTTGAATACACACAAACGAAGTCACACTGGCCTTCGCCCATTCGCGTGCGACGTATGTCTTAAACGTTTCTCTGTTAAATCGTATCTTGTAGCACATCAGTGGTCTCATGCTGCAGCTGGAGGTCTCTTATGTAATCTTTGTCATATGTCTTTTAATAATAGAAGCCAATTTATGCAACATATGAGGTCGCATAATAATAAGTTGTTCACTTGTCCAAACTGTCAAAAATGTTTCTCAAAAGAGTCATATTTAATAAGGCATAGAAATCGGGTGCATAAGAATGCTGAAGTTGAAATTATCAAGACCGAGTAAGTTATTGTCTCATTAGTTACATATTTATTTATATTATACTTTTGTAAGATATTAAACGATAAAAGCAGGAAATGCACAGAATCTTTTATATAAGTTATTTATTGTAATGAATCTTTTTTTTATTTTTTTATACAGGGTGTTACCATAGATTCTTTGGGGATAATCATGGCACTTTTCTTATACCATTTTTCTTTTGTATGCCCCTTTTCCAAGATACAGTGTCAAAGTTACGATTTAAAAAAATATTTTTTATCAGTAACTTGCTTACTTGATTTTCGCATTGAAAGGGCCTAAGTATGTATTCACGGAGATGATAGGCATTGAACATTTAATATCCAGTATAAATATCAATTTCAAATTTATCTAATTTTTAAAGATAAATTACATTAAATAAGATTTTTTTAAGAGCGCCAAGCTCTGATCATAAGATAAACACAAAAGTGGTCATTATACATATATCAGAAGTTGGAAAAATGAAAAATATTCAAAAAAGAAACCTTTGATCTAAAAAACAGTACTTTAAAATATCTCAAAAAGTGATTAAATTTTAATTTTAAAAATGAATATTTTTAATGAAAAAAGTCATAATAAAGTCTTATTATTTTCCTCCAAAAAACTCAGGTCAACACCCTACCTTGATCTTCTTTTTTTTTGTATGTATCACCGTGTATATTTAAATATATGTACTGTGTATTAATAAAATATGAAAATAAAATTAAATCTTATCTTTTTTTTGCATAGCATTATCCAAATATTATATTTTATAGTTGTTATGATTTCAGTTGGAACCGTATAAAAACACTTAACTCTATGGAATCCATAGGCGTCCAGAAAAATGTTGCTATTTGTAAATTCTCGGGATAGATTTCTTATTAAATTTATCTCGAATCATGTTTAAAGTAAGAACTTTGTTTTCTTTATACATATAAATTGTGCGCCGTATTATTGTCGATATTTTTTAATTCTATATCTTTCGATTTCCTCTTTGTACCGTGATCAATAACGTTCTTTAATTATGACGATAAATTGTCCTTCTTGATATCTTACCTAATTTGATTATTGTTTCGTAATTTCTTCATCACATTGTTCTTTCAAAATTCATATATATTTAAAATAATATGTTGACTTTGTTTTTAAACTCAGATTTTTTTCGACGCTTTCGATAAAAACTGATTCAACTATTTGGGGATTTTCCCAGGTTATTTCGCTATTCCAAAGGGTCTATGTACAGAAAGCCATGCTAAATTCCTAGATAATTGTATATAATATTTTTATAACTATTACCCAGTACTGGTTACGATATGAACAAATAATAATATCAACTAATAAATAATAATACGTACTATACCAACAACATACCATGCCAAGCACTGCTCTGCATTGCACTGGCAAAGCCAAGTGAACCACGCTCGACAGCAAACCTCAGAATACCATACAAAAAATTATTTACGACCTACTGGACCAATACAGATTTACTTTGACGATAAGCGCCGTCGTCGATTCTACATCAGTCGGACTGGTATACCAATACCGGACTCACCGAATTGCTATTCGAGTATAAATTACAAGATGGATCATGGCCAAAGCATAGGAAGATCACAGGTTCCAACTGAAATTGTAACAACTATACCTATACTAGTTGCTCTAAAATAAAGTGGATCATTACTGAATTTTTTATTTAAATGTTTTAGTTGTAAACAATTTTAGATGCATTGTATTAATAAGAAAGACAGATATGTTTTCTAAAGTCTGACAATTGAATCTTAATCAGATGATGGTATAACTTGCCATTGATTCCTGATAGTGCCCATCGAATAAAGAAAAATTTAAAAAGGCATATCCTCTAAAATGTGTTAGAATGTAAATGAAATATTTACGGTTGGCTCATTTAATTTTATTCAGAATTGGATGGTAGGATAAAACTAATAGATTAGATATGTGGTAGTTTTGATATACAGCGTGTTCCACTAGTGGGGGAAAGTCCAATATCTATGTTAAAATAGAAGGAATATATGGATTTTTCTTTTTACTGTGTTGCCACATTTCTCGGAATGTACAAATTAAAAATATATTCAACTATACAGGGTGTTCCACTTTTCCTGGACAGAGACACCAACTTCGGTTTTTTAAATGGAAACACACATTTTTTATATTTTTTTTCAGATTCTACATCAAAAATAAAGGGTACTTTGTGTAGAATAGTTCTATTCAAATATTCACAGTTTTTGAGATATCTCGTTTGAAAGGTTTTTCTAGTCGATATTGGTTGCTTAGATTTTCTGATACTGACAAGTTATACTAATAGCTACTAAGGCCATTTTTTTATCAGATGTTTAGTAAGGATGATTCTTCCGAATCATGCTTCAAAAATTGGCCTGCGTTCTGTCCAGGAAAAGTGGAACACCCTGTATAGTTGAATATATTTTTAATTTGTACATTCTGAGAAATGTGGCAACACAGTAAAAAGAAAAATCCATATATTCCTCATTTTAACATAGATATTGGACTTTCCCGCACTAGTGAGACACGCTGTAGACTTAATGAAATTGTGTTTACAAAGGTTTACCTTGAGGCTTCAGTTTTTTTAAACAGATTTAGAAAGATCATAGAAACATTTTTTCATATTTTGTCCAGTACTATCAGCCATCGAAATATACTATTTTTTGACATCCTGTATATGCCAAGTATGTAAGTGTTCCCAAGTGCATTATAGCCAGTGAGAAAAATATCCAGACTAGGGTAAAATTCAAAATGTTTATTAATGTAAGATTCTTCATGTAAATTCACTGAATTTTACTCTTGAATACATGTTTTTTATATTTAATAAATATTTGTAAATTATTTTATTTATTTATTTTTAGTGTTATTATTGTGAAAAAAATCATACATGAAAGAATTAGTATTTAATTTATGAATTATCAACTAGAAGTCAAAAAAATTAGTAAAGGAAATTTGAAACATTTTTATTACTGTATGTAGTGTAGGTACTACATTTTCTTAATTTTATTCATATATTATATTCAATAATGTACTGGCTCGTCAGAGTTGATAAAATTTGTTAAATATTACATTATTGTATTGTAAATAATGCTTATTGTAATATTGTTATGCAAAACAAGGTTAAATATGTATTATTGCAGATTAAATGTATTAGGAACTTATCTTGAAATTTTGTTAAGCCCTTCCAGACTTCCTCACATTTAAAATTATACAGGGTGTTTCGCGTAAGAACCGACAGCAGGAGTATACAGGGTGTAACGTAAAGGTTGGGAATAAATTAAACAGTGGATTCTTTAGTTTAAAAAGTAATTTTTTGTCATATGAAGTTATGCTCTACGGGTTTTCTTTTCCAAGATGCAAGGTGCTAAAAAATTTCAAAAAATTTATTTTTTCTCCAATAGGTAACTTTCGAACATTAGAAGATAATGGAATGAAATTTCATCCACAGCTTAATTTGATAATCGCCTAGTAATTTCTACGATGAATAGAAGCCGAGATATTGCAAAATTTTACAGCGCGCATCAATTTGAACTTTGAAAGATTAACGCCCGTACAGAGGCTTAATGTTCATAACTTTTGGAGCCTCTGTTATAAACAAATTGAATTGTGCGAAAACTATTGCACCTACAGCGCCCACTTTTGGCACACTTTTAAAGTATGACAAAACCCTCAACTTGTCATAGGTTTTATAGAATTTTAACAATAAATGCAATAGTTATAAACAAATTGAAAAATAGGCGCTTTTCTTGTTTTTTTTTGCAATAACTTTCTTGTTTATTAACCGATTTTAATTTAACAAGTCTCATTTTGTAGATAATTTTATTCCGTACAAGTTGTCCGTGAGTCACTTTTCGCTAAAATTGATGGTTTTCGCTGCAAAGTGAAGAAACTGTTTTCCTCACTTATTTGTTTAAATAGAAAAGTTAGCTAATAANTTGCACCTACAGCGCCCACTTTTGGCACACTTTTAAAGTATGACAAAACCCTCAACTTGTCATAGGTTTTATAGAATTTTAACAATAAATGCAATAGTTATAAACAAATTGAAAAATAGGCGCTTTTCTTGTTTTTTTTTGCAATAACTTTCTTGTTTATTAACCGATTTTAATTTAACAAGTCTCATTTTGTAGATAATTTTATTCCCTATAAGCTGTCTGTGAGTCACTTTTCGCTAAAATTGATGGTTTTCCCTGCAAAGTAAAAAAAAACTGTTTTCCGCACTTATTTGTTTAAATAGAAAAGTTAGCTAATAAAATTTTTTGACTCGCGAGATGAGATGCCTTGTATTATGTTCCTTTAGACAATTTTACAATAATATCGCAGATAGGAATTTTTTCGAGTTTCTCTTTTTTTTTGCTAATTTTCCTGGTCTAAATCCCTAGACTAAACAACAGGGTGAGCCAAAAAATTTTTTTTTTAGAAATGTTCGCCTTAGTATAAAAAGTCTATCGGCAACTTGTCAATTAAGATGTCGTAGCTCATATTCACGTTGTAGCATTAATAGACGAAAATATGCTACAGATGGCTTTTACTTTCTCGGTACAGTCCGTACAATATTTGTTGAGATAAAATTCCAAGATATGAACCGAAGAAACATGCCTTCGTAACTGCAAAACACAGTATGCACTAAAAGCTGCTACAGTAAATGCCACACCACGAATGTATTTCTACCTCAGGTGTCGAATGCGGTTAATTCCATGAAAGTGACATTCGATTTATTTTAGCTGAAAAATCAAACATTAAAATATTTTAATATCTTTAAAACATATTTGGCGACCTTCATTTAGCTCCCGATATTTGTGCAACCACGACTTGTCTCACAAGGTTTACAACAGATACATGAATTTTTGAGTGTTGTTTATAAAAGTATAAAGTATTAAAGTTGGAATTTTCTATATTTCTAACGCTCCAATAAGGTTAACCTCCAATATTGTTTTCAAGACACCACATGGTTTCCAGGTGCATACAATTTTTTAAATGAAGTTCACTTCATAAAATTTTGCCATTAGCATAAATATTTGTTCACAAAATCCATTTTTAGGGATGCTGTACAGTGGCATATTAGATAGAAAAATCACTAACATAATTTGACAATAAAAGAAAAAGGTTAAAAATAAATTTAAATGTTTTGGTGGTAAATAATAATGAACTGTTTATACTCTTCCAAATTTTCATTTAAAGTGCAACAATAAATGTTTGTTTAATCAACTGAAAAGAATCTCATAACTTACAATCTATATATTACTCTTGAATTAAAATACACATCATAACAAACTTCATCTTGTAAAAAGTAAAACTTATAATACAGAAAAAAACAGGTATTAACTTAAATTACGGCTTGATGAACAGTCAATGATTTCTGTTAGACATCTTCCGAATTCTTCGATAATTAGGCGTTTAGTCATTTCCTCGTCTTGCATAGCTTCTTCGGCATTGTCAGATATAGTTAACATGCACTGGCAAGTTGCCTCGATGACATCGTCAGTAATGAAACTGATTGTTTGTTTTCTGAAATGAAATTAAATACGAGTGAGGTACTTACTCAAAATATTTTTCTTAAAAAAGTTATACCTTGTGCTAGAAGTTCTTCTAGGGCGGAACTGAGAGAAATCCTTAGTGGCGATTATTTTACCATCAGGTAGAATCGGTGTATTTGTAGCTTTTTCTATGTTTGATATTCTAAGATTTTTTTTCTCCATTGAATCCTCTATATTTCGACACCCAATGCACTTGCAATTATTTGAACAGGCAATTTTAGCCTGAAATGAGAGGTATTTTAAGGATATACAATAATCAGTAATTACGAAAAAGACTATAATAATTGATTCACTGGCAACATAAAATGACAATGTGTCAGTAATTATTGGTGGTAGCCAACTATAAACAATAAATTTTCATTAATTTGTATGCTCATTAAACAATTTTTAAATGAAGATCCTGATGAATAGGCCATACTTTGACAGTTGCTTACTTGGATCAAAATATATTTTTCAGTTTAATTTACCACAGTATAAAAGTTGATGATAACGAAGGGAGGCGGTGTCAAATTAAATTTTTGTATTAACTTTCTTAACTTTTAAAGTACTTAATATTTAATACGTATGTAAAGTCAAGGAAACATCATCATCAGGGCCGTCTTAACCATATTGGATGCTGGGTGCGAAAATCAGCCTGTGCTCCCCTTGTCAACAAAAAAAAAAAATAAAATAAAATTTAATTTTTATGATCCATTTTTATTATTTAGTACTTATAGTCCACAGTACAGGCCCCCCCTGGAAAGTTGATTACCACATACTTTATAACTCGTGAGGAGCTTCGTTTTGACGAGTCTACCACACTTTTCCTCTGCGACTTTTCTCGATTCCTCCGCATTTCCACTTGGAAAAGTCCAAAAACATGGCAATTTCCCGGGGTCTTGAAAAGTCAAGACCACATCTTTTTGTTTTAGCTTAAGTTACTGGAAATTTTGTTGCAAATGCCGATTTAAATTTGTCCGACAGAAATTCTTCCGACATTGATGTGTCTACCGGACGAAACATGCCAAAATGGCAGGGTATTGAAAATCAATTACCACATAGGTAATTTTTAGTAAAATTAATTGTAAATAATTAATTCAGTCAAAAAGTATTGTTGTCCAACAAATTTCAAGCCGCATTTTTTCAGTCCGACAGCTGGAAATCGGAATTTTCACGGGGTATGATAAATCAATTACCACATGTCGGACAAAAATAACACACGATAGAAAAGTGTTTTTTATAAGCAAAAATTGTAATGTCCAAAAAAATATAACCGCAAATCGTCAGTCCGACAAAAAAGATGAAAAAAATCCCGAGCAGTACCTTAACAATATTTCTGGCAAAGAAAAATTTACGCGAATTATTTTTTTGTAATTTTTATATATTTTTAGAATTAAGCAACTAAAAATACAACTTTTTTGTCTGGTATGTTTTTCGTATCTTGATTAATTTTTGTAGAAAAAAAATAAAATTCACTTTTTTGCATATCCTTGGACCACACAAGAAACATGGGGAAAAGTTTCTTTTGGAAATTAACATTTTTTTATAATTTTTCATTAGTATCATGTAACATCTAAATAACATAAAGTACAAATAACTGCAAAATTACAACAAAATTGGGTAAATGGTATTTTGACTATTATCTACATTAATTATCACTTATTAATGCAGTACCTATTAATTTATATTTAACAAATAGGTATTCAACATCATGCTTATCAGTTATATATTTTCTTTTTATTTTAATGTATGTTATTAATATGCAAATGCGGCCTGCCTAATAATAATATGCCGCCTCCTCTCCCGCACAAGTCTCCGACTTATGGGCTAATTCTCGTAATTAGAATGAGGAGTAGAGATATTATTATTATTATTATTAAATAATGAACGTTTCGTAATCGATAACGTGATTTCTTAT